TACTCTGCTTTTCCTCATTACTCTTTTTCCCCTTTTCTTTTGTTCCGATTGAAAAAAAGAAATTTCACAAGTTCTTCTTCTCTCTGCCTTTGTTGTTGCTGCTACTGCAACTACAGTAAGGTGATTTCTCATCTTCGTTAGCTCGAGAATCTCTCTTTTTCTTTTGCTTCTGGGTCGATTTGGTCTTGTGTATAGCTTCGATCTCTTGTTCCTTTTAACTCTCTGCATGATTGATTTCGTTTTCGTAAGCTGTTTATGCTGCAAGTTTTCTCCCTCTAACCTGGGTTTTAGAGCATGTACCAACGATTCCAAAACTGGGTTTTTCATGATAGAGTGATCGTATTTTGCTAGATTCGGGAACTGAAATGATGTGAAGTATCTGATTGATTTTTGGGTTTGTTTTGTGTTTTACAGATTCTGTGTTAAAGGAAGTTTTTTTTGTTGGGGGAGGGAGTTTCTTTATGACGGGGAAGCGATCTAAGACTACATGTAGATCTACTTCTCACAAGCTTTTCAAGGATAAAGCGAAGAATCGTGTTGATGATTTGCAAGGGATGTTATTGGATCTTCAATTTGCAAGGAAAGAGAGTAGGGCTATTGATGTAACTCTGCTTGAGGAGCAAGTTAATCAGATGCTTCGTGAGTGGAAATCAGAGCTTAACGAGCCCTCTCCAGCATCATCATTGCAACAAGTATGGTATCTTGATGAAATGTTTACCCATCCTGTTGATTCTTGTGTGTCTTGCATGGTTGGTTTCTTGATCATGATTTGAGGGAAAAGGTGTTACATGGTTTTTATTTTCATTGTTGTTTTGTTTTTGCTTAGCAGGGTGGTACTCTGGGGTCTTTCTCATCAGACATTTGTCGGCTGCTGCAGCTTCGTGACGAGGAAGATGATGCAACCAGCAAATTAGCTGCACCAAAGCATGAGCCTGCTGATCAGAATCTGGAAGCTGGAAAAACTGCTGTTTTCCAGACTGTGAGTTTCTTTTTCCAGACGGTGAATTTTGGTTGTGTGTGGAGTCCATTATCGTGTTCTGGTGCTGAGGGTATGGTGTGTTTTGACAGGGATACAATTTGGTTCAGGGAAAGCCAGAACAAGGATTTCCTTTGGCTGATCATTGCAAAGATCCGTCCTTGGTAGTTGGCAACAACTTCGATGGAACTGCTCAATTGGAATATATTCAGTATGATCTGCAACAACAAGAGTTCGAACCAAACTTCAATGGTGGTTTTACCGACTGTCCCAGTTATGCTGTAGAGGGTCCTTTACATATCTCTACTTTCATCCCGACTATCTGTCCTCCACCCTCTGCGTTCTTGGGTCCAAAATGTGCTCTTTGGGACTGCCCTAGGCCTGCTCAAGGATTCGACTGGTTCCAGGATTACTGCAGCAGCTTCCACGCTGCCCTGGCTTTCAATGAAGGCCCACCAGGTATGAATCCTGTTGTGCGTCCTGGAGGCATCGGCCTAAAAGATGGTTTGCTTTTTGCTGCTCTTAGCGCAAAGGCTGAAGGGAAAGATGTCGGTATTCCCGAATGTGAAGGAGCTGCAACTGCTAAATCTCCATGGAATGCTCCAGGTAAAGGCTTTGCTTTGTTTCATTCCATGGAACTCAAGTTCCTTGATCACCATTCTCATGCTTGATATTTCTGGTGTGACTGTAGAGCTGTTTGATCTCACGGTTCTAGAGAGTGAGACACTAAGGGAGTGGCTATTCTTTGACAAACCAAGGAGGGCCTTTGAGAGCGGGAACAGAAAGCAAAGATCTTTACCAGATTACAACGGCCGTGGTTGGCACGAGTCACGTAAACAGGTCATGAACGAGTTTGGTGGGCTGAAGAGATCTTACTACATGGATCCACAGCCTCTGCACCATTTCGAATGGCATCTTTATGAATATGAGATCAACAAGTGCGATGCTTGTGCCTTGTACAGGCTCGAGCTCAAGCTTGTTGATGGGAAGAAGAACTCAAAAGGCAAATTATCAAACGACTCCGTGGCTGATCTGCAGAAACAGATGGGAAGACTCACAGCTGAGTTCCCTCCTGAA